TCATTAGTAGGGAAAAGAAAAATACACCCATCAATACTAGACCTTGCCACTAAATTTTATCAAGCTGATTAGCAAGATGTTCCAGCCCCTCAATTAAAGATAAACAAACATTTCCTTTTGTTTATACAGCTCACAGATGCCAGAGCTAAATCAGCCCACTTTAAATATATCACTGGGGTTTTGTGTTATACTAAGACTAGACATCAAACCAACATGTGTGGTCAATCAGACCCTTAGTAAAACTTAGTTTGTACCTATTTCTGCATGTTGATGGACTCCTACTGAATTTCAGATGTAGATTTTAACTTCTATATACTTTTAGAGGGTCTCTTAGCGATAAAGGCAGAAAATAAAGGCATAGCTTTAATTTAATGTTTGTAATCCCAGCTACTCAGTAAGCCAAGGCAGGAGAATCGCTTGAACCCAGGAGGCAGAGGTTGCAGTAAGCCAAGATTGTGCCACTGCACTCCAGTCTAAGAGACAGAGTAAGACTCTGTCTCAAAAAAAAAAAAAACAGTTTATTGTGGTAAGTTTCAAAGTTAATACTTGCATATCAAAGACACAAAAGTTTATGAAATTACAATAATTTATGACAAAAGTAGAATTAAAGGTTCCTATTTCTTAAGGAATAAAGATACCCTTCACATGCCAGATGGAAACAGAATTGCAATTTAAATCTTTTTAAATATCAGAATTCATTTATACATTTTACATATATCATCATGATGTAATTATAAAATGTTGAACAGGAAATTTGTTTCTGTCAAGTAAATCAGAAGAAAAAAGGCAAGATTTTATGACTCTCTATTAAGTTATTGTTACAAAGCAACAGAACTTCCAATTACATAAGTACTGTCACTTTAACATAGTCAAAAATAATATTAAAAGAGAAATATGCTTTTTCAACATCAAAATACATTTTATAATTTTCAAACTGAACATATATATTCTCTTTTTTTCCTGTCAATGGTGAAGTTGTGGAGAAGTGGAGAGCAGGGTGGTCAATTTCAATGAAAAATTTTATTTATCTGCCAAGTTCTGAAAGTTTTGTTATATTATTTAATTAAGCCCAATTTTCTACAGACTTTTATTATATATTGAAAAGATATTATAACAAATTAAAACCACATGATATAATAACCTTTCAATGACTTTGTGGATCAGGGCTACTTGTAACTCCCATTTACTACATGGTGCTCGTGTATTCTTTAATCAGGGTTCAGCAAAAGCCCTGAAGGGAGATACTAAGAACTGACAACCCCCTCCTTAAAAACGGGGAGAGACTAGGTTTATATCATAATGTTGATTCAAGATCATACAGCAAATAAACAGAAAAAAAAAAAAACCCAATAATTTGGAACAGGTTCCTAAATAGGCCATCACTTATGGGCACCTTGGAGGGGTTGGTAATAACCACCAAGTTGTAAAAAAGCATAGCTTTGGAGCCAAAGAGATCTGGATTAAATCCTTGCTGTGCCTCTCAACAGCTCTCTGTTGACCTCTCTTGTTTAGATTACTTCGAAGTCCTGCTAAATGGTCCTCTTGACCCAGACTACTCTATTCATCCCAATCCATTCTCCATAATCCTATTACAGGTACTTCCTAAAAACCAAATCTGGTCACATAACCCTCTGCTTAAAGGTCATATTCAAAATAAAATCTTTAGTAAGGCCCTTATTCTCAGAAGGTTCTTATCAACCTGGTCTAGTTCACTTCTTTAGCCTTATGTGCTACCTCCCCTCACTCACTCCAAGCTCTAGCCTACATCCCATCTTTGATCCCATCCACAATCTTTCATTACTCAGAAACTCTGCTATTCCCATTTTACCCTTCTTCTCTTAGTCTGTTTGTGCTGCTATAACACCCAAAATTGGGTAATTAATAAACAACAGAAATCTATTTCTCACAGTTTTGGCAGCTGACAAGTCCAAGATCAAGGCACAAGCAGGGTCAGTGGCTGGTGAAGGCTGCTCTCTGCTTCAAGATACTACCTCGTTGCTGCATCCTCCAGAAGAGATGAATGCTCTCCCATCAGATGGCACAAAGGCCAAAGAGGGGTTCCATAGCTCTCTCTAGCCTTTTTAATAAAGAGACATATCCCATTTTTGAGGGTGAAGCCCTCATGGCTTAATCACCTCCCGAAAGCCCCAGCTCTTAATACAATCTCCCTGGGAGTTAATTTCCAACCTATGAATTTTGGAGGTACACATACATTCATACCATAGCATTCAACCAACAAGCTCCTATTCATTCTTTCAGGCCCCATGAAGTATTCCCTCTACCAGGAAGTCTTCCTTAATTTCCCTAGGCAGTTAGCTTTCCCTCCTGATCCAAAGTATCTTATTTAAATTACTTACTGTACTACATTGAAATGGTTAGTTTACCTGCCCAGCTCCCACCTCCAACCCCACAGCATCCTTCCCTCTCTCACTGATAACAAAACCCAAACTGTGACCACCTCTAAGGATCTTTGGATCCTCAATGCCTACTAGCTACCAAGTGTTTGAAAAAATATTTATCAAATTAAAAAAAAAAGAGTAAGTGAATGAATGAATGAATGAATGACTTGAAGGAAGTCTGAACATCTAGGACCTAAGAATTTTGATAAATGAGACTCATGACAATCAAAGGAAAAGGGAGGTGATGAAAGGATGAATGAGATTTCATAAGGTGTTAAAATATATACTGTATGTATTTATTACTCAAGGGTCCCAAATGGGTATAAATTATAAATACAGACAATATTTATAGGTACAATGGTAAGTGCATTATTTACCTTACATGTTGGAACTACTCTTTCTAAGCCACTACTATCTTGATAGGTCAATATGTTTTTTTGGAACACACAATATAGTAGAAAATGTGAACTATGTATCTGTCGAACAGTAATAAAGCACACTTTAACCTGTAAGTGGTGTCAGCTCCTTCTCTGAGTCTATAATCCATTTATCTAAATCCTACTTAGTTGGAGGATTATAGTTCTCATATATCTACATATGAGCTCTTCCCATTAGGTAAATGGTTCACACATACAGTAAATAAGGCTATACAAATCATATCTAATTTCACTAAAGAAAAAAAATTGACATATTTTCCTGGTAAGAAAAAGATAAAAGGGAAGGAAATTGGGATTATGCCAAACAAGTGATTAAAAATGCTTTAAGGGACTCTTTTTGGAGTCCCTTGAAAGAGAGGAACTGGCTAAGAATTTCAAAGGAAACTGCCAACAGAAAAAAGAACCACTAGAAACAAATCTAAAATTTCACTGGAAACAGGAGGCTACAAAGTAAAAGGGAAATTTTTAAGGAAATACAAGCCATATCTTCATACATCAACATGAAAAAGGAATGCTAAAATGGTAATTTTTTAAAAGTGCAAGTGTCAGAGGCATTTAAACCAAAGCAACTCTATCTTGAATAGGGGCTGGGTAAAATAAGGCTTTGGCCTACTGAGCTGCATTCCCAGGAGGTTAGGCATTCTTAGTCACAGAATGAGATAGGAGGTTGGCACAAAGCCTTGCTGATAATTCTCTGACCTACTTCACTACTGACGCTTAGCAGAAGAAAGATACTTGCTTATAGCTGTTTACACAGTTCACACTTCACTAATGCGATTAGTACATTTGAACATACTGTAAAGTAGTGATGGAATGCAAACTAGCTACTAAATTAATTAGTTAATCTCACTAGCCAAAAGGTAAAAACAACTTCTAGCATTAGGTAAGTATTTCAGACTTATCTGAAATATGACAATCTTACTCTAAGTTTTTAGAACAGAGGAAAAAACCTCTAAAAACTGTAAGTAAAGTCAAATAAAAATATTTCCAAACAACACTGATAACAATTCCATAGGAAAGCTTACACTCAGTGATAGTTTTGTCTTTTTCTCCTTAAAGTGTCCTTTCTGGAAATGAACATTATTTTGATATGACCTTTACTTTGTAATACTCAACTCCTAGCCTGTTTTCTCTAGAATAAAGTGCAACTCAGAAAGCTTACAATCTTTGCATTTCATTATTTTGTGACTTCATTTGTTCAAATAATAAGTTTATGTGAACTGGGACTGAGATCTTTATTAACAATGAAGTTACAAAATGTATCTTATTATTTCTAAATGAATGTAGTGACAATAGTGGTTAAGAACATGGGCTCTAACCATACTCCCTAGGTTAAAATCTCAAATATGAGCTGGGTGCAGCAGTGTGCACCTGTATTCCCAGCTACCTGGAAGACTGACACAGGCAGATCACTTGAGCCCAGGAGTTTGAGGCCGTAGGGTGTGATGACTGCACCTGTGAATAGCCACTGCCCTCCAGTCTAGGCACCAAGGGAAGAATCTGTCACTAAAAACAAAGGAAAAAAAATTCCTAGACCTTCCATTTTCCAACTCTGTGACCTTGAACAAGTCATTTAACCTCTCTGTTCTCAGTTTTCCTAAAAGTAAAATTAATGGTGCCAATAATAGTACTTACAGAGTTGTTGTGAGCTAAAAAGTTAATATAGCTAATGTACTTAAAGTGCTTAGAACAGTGCCCAGTGTGTAGTAAATTCTATATACATGTTTGCTGTTATTCCTTAAATCTGTAAAGGGAGCTAAGAAAGAGGCTGAGCATACTTAATTTTATCTAATTTTACTTTAAAATAATTAAGGAAAATAATCTATTTTTCTGCCGTTGAAACTCTCACAACTCTATGTTCTTAACTTTCCCAGAAATTCTACAACCGTAGGCTGGATAATACTTCCTAAGGTAAAAGGCCACGCAGATTAAAGCTATTTTACTCTCTTTTCTAATTCAATACAACACAATTGTTTTAGCTGTGAGGGCATTTTGGTATTTGGAGCATTTGTCAAATAATGAATCAAATTAGTAAGATTATCTTTGTTAAAGTACTCAGTTATTATTTATCTAGTCATCTTCAGTTACTCTGTACCGAAAAGAGAAGGAAGGGATGGCCAAAAAACTCTTACACAGTAGTAATATAATTGAACAGCAGCACTACCTTTGTCGCTTCCATAATAATAGAAGACCGTTTTACTGAGAGCACACCACCGTTTCTGCCATTCAAATCCCAGAAAGCTGTGATCTGCAATGAAGAGGGGAAAATGTAAGGCCATTTCCTTACTGTAACAGAAAAAGTTAGTTAATATGATTTCAAAGCTTCCTTTGAGCTCTAACATTCTATGACTAATTTATATCTTCTTTTCCAAGAGACAAAACAACAAACCAACAAGCTAAAGAGAATAAAGTAAAGTAGCTATGGGGCTGCCATACTTATGGGAGCAACAGCATGGCTAACAGTTTTCTGACAGGGACAGTCAAAGAGGCATCTGACTGTGCAATCTTGAGACAATTGATCCATCTGGGTCTCAGTTTCTCATCTGTTATAAAAAGAAGGGGGGAAGCTAACTTAGATTCTATTTCTGTTATCTCTTCCAGTTTTAAAATTCAGCTAAGAAAGGTAAGAAAAGCAAAATGATATATAAATAGAAAAGCCCAAAGGGACTACCAGAGAGATAAGCAGAATGGTCATGAAAAGACTGTCTGCTTTTCATTTCTCATATTGTAACACCACCTCTGTATTTCATTTCCATTAAATATTGGTGTTGAAAGAGTGAGACCATATGGTCAACTCCCAGTTATCATAACCGATGGAGAGGAACACTGAAATGAATAATAGACAATGGCAGACAAGATGCCAGGCTTGATCTGAACCATGGTGCATGCCAGGTCAGACACAGGAGAACGTGCTGCTGAGCCCAGTGAGATACTGGTGAGAAATCCCATGTTTAAGAATATAAAGGAAGGCTGCAGCCTTCCTTTAAGAGGCAGGAAACAGCTCCTGAATAATTTACAAATAATCAAGGTTGACAACTGAAAACATGACCTATTGTTTTCGAATTAAAATTTATTTAAAGCTAAGAACTATATTTTGTGGTCTGGATAATGTCATCCAGATTTTCTTACAGTCTTAAAATTCTTCAATAACCTAAAAAGAATATTGCCTCCACATATATACTACAAACATGCTCTATCTAAGGATGAAACCATTTTTAGATTTTTTCATTGGAACCTTAAGCTTACCTTTTCTGCGTTTTTCGAGGTAACCAGCCTTTAGAACAAAAGGAAGGTCCTGTGCTGCAACTGGAGGAAATTGGAGTCCTGTGAGAAGTTGGGGAGAGAAAAAAAAAAGCAGTGGGCAATCCATTTCAGAAAAAACGTGCCAGATCTCATTAGATTCAGTGTGTTTTCAATTACTGAAATTGTTTAAATCTAAGTCTGTTAGCCTTGTTTCAGATCTATTCCATAGATTAATCTCCTCTATTCCTCCCATAAGTCTCAAAAGTAAAAAAAAAAAAAAAAGTTCTGTACTCCTGTATCTTAATATATCCTCCCAAAATACAGGACTAAGAAACTATTATAAATAAATGTAATAAATCCCTGAAAGAGAGGTTAAGAATTTCAAATAAATCATAGCTTCTTTATATTTATATTGGATTAATTCTTTAAGAATTTCAATGTATATTGACTCTTACCTGCATAATTCCTATTCCTACCAAGTAAAACATAAAATGCTTTTCCCCTAGAATCAAGAAACTTATTTTTCTGAGGCCATAGCAAATATTCTCTGTTTGTATTCACAGAGAAATCTTACAGACATTCCACTGAGTGAGTATGCTTTAGGTTTTTCTAGGTAATTTAAGAGTTTAAAATTAGATAGATCTGATAAAACTATTATAAACAAATACTGGATCCCTAAAAAACAGTTTTTAAATCAAGCTAAAGTTACGTTGATTAGAAATTGTATATTCACGGTCATGGATGATAGGTTACTCAATTTTACAAGTGTTCAATATTTTTATAAACTTCATTAGAAATATAATAGTTATCCTCAGCACTTTACTAGAACTCTAGCAAGTGAAAACAACCAATCAAAATAAAATTTGTATGGAATACATCCAGTGGAAATGGTTTCGGTACAGCTTAGGATAGAAAATGTGTTGAGTACAAACATAATTAGAATGAATAAGATCTAGTATTTGATAGAACAACAGAGTGACTATAGTCAACAATAATTTATTGTACATTTTAAAGTAACTAAGAGGCTGGGCGTGATGGCTCATGCCTACAATTCCAGCACTTTTGGAGGCTAAGGAAGGAGGGTCCCTTGAGCCCAGGAGTTTGACACCAACTTGGGTAACACAGTGAGACCCCATCTCTACAAAAAAATTTACAAATTAGCTGGGCATGGTGGTAAATGCCTACAGTCTCAGCCACAGGAGGAGTTGGGTAGAGACAGTGGGAGGGGGGCCTAAGGTGGGAGGATCGCCTAAGAGTTCAAGGCTGCAGTGAGCTATGATTGTGCCACCACACTGCAGCCTGGACAATAGAGTGAGACCCTGTATCTAAATAAATAAATAAATAAATACAAATGAAATGAAATAACTAAACAAATATAATTGGATTATTTGTAACACAAAGAAAGGATAAATGCTTGAAGTGATAGATACCTCATTTACCCTGATGTGATTATGCATTGTATACCTGTATCAGAATATCTAATGTACCCCATAAATATGCCTACTATGTACCCACAAAAATTAAAATATAAAAAAATACAATGGGTTTGATAGGAAGTTTATTATACACAAACATCACAGAATTTTACCAGCTTTTTTTTTTATTTAATATCATGGGGATCACAGTAGCTATAAAGTCATGAATATTTTTTCTTAATAAATAAAGCTTAAAATTAAGAGTACTAATTTCAGCTCCTTGGTGGATCAATTTCACTCAGTAAACACAACACAGTATCATTAAAACATATTTAAAATAAAGCCCTGGTTTTGAAATGTATGTGAAATTTTATGGAAAGTCAGTGTACATATTTTAATAGCTGTTCAATAAATGTATCCAGTTTATTTTTTTACAAAATAAACTTGGTACATATAAAGGTATAAATTATTTATTGTAGTATATTGTACTCAAAACAAAAATTACAAATGGAAACCTTATCTATGTAAACAAGTCCTGGTCAACCACTAAACTAAGGTAGATAATTGTGGTATGATTTGGTCTTATTAAGGGGTAGTCCCACAACTCTCTCACTTCCATTGGGCATAATAAATGCTCTTTACATGTGGAATGGATGCTCACAAAATCTTAAGAAGAAAAGTTAAATTATTCTGAAAAGAAATGGGTACCCTTAGCATAGCTTTCAACTCTAAAACGTTACTGATCAAAAAGAAGGGGAGAGAGAGATGAGAAGTAGGGAGAGGAAAGAGGAAGTGGGGGAAAAGGAGAAGGAGAAGGAAAAGTAGAATTTACTAGCATTCAGTATACACAGAGCCTGAGTTTTTTGCTTTAAGAAAAATGTTGGCAAAATTTCCACCTGATACATCACAATAAAATTTGATGTCATAAGCAATACTTATTCTGAATTCTAAATTCATGCTTTGATTTCATCCCTGGGGAGGTGGGGAGTAAGTTTTTTTTTAACTGAAATTTCATTTTTCTAAACCTTTATTGCTATTTGTCCAATATCCAGGATTTGCTTAATAGCCATGTGAATTCTTTAAAACACAAAAGGTATTTGGTTTGTACAGCACTATGAGCATATGGAAAATACTTTTTGATGGTAGGAATGGAAAATCTGTTATATAAGATATAAAAAAGTCATAAATTCCTTGAAAAAAACATGAATTCTCACATAATTTAGACCTCATATCACTATACCTACAATGATTAATGCTATGTCATCATTTAGGAAGATTCAGATTGGTATAAACAGTTAAGACTATAAAAATACAGGCATAATGATATATGAAGAACAGGAAATTAAGGCTAATGTAAGCGTATCTGGCAGGCAACAACAAAGAGCTGTCACATGTTTGCCATACACTGAAATTACATTGTCTCGCTATGCAACACAGCCAGTTACACAACATTCCGGTGAATTCACAATCATATTCTCAGCTTCACTATTAAAATTCAGACCTTGTCCTAAAAAAGAGTTTTGCCCTGGGTCTTTGTCCTTTAGCACACAGTAGGCATTCAGTAAATGTTAGCTTTTATTAACTATTACAGTTAAATATTGTTATATGTACTGTAACTATTAGTTCAAATGAGTGGATGCTAATGTAAATATAAGATGATGTTGCTCAGAGAAAGTTAATCAGAAAGAAAGACAGGAAAAAGCATGATTCAGCAACTATACAAGTTAAGCATTGTAGCTACTTCTAAAGAAGTTAAAAGATTTCCTTTTACTTAAGTGAAAGTGGTTAATGAAAAAAAATTATATCCTAAGGGGAGAAAAAAATTAACCCATATTTTAGGGATCAGACTATGCTACAGTAATTTATTACATGGCCTTGCTTAAGTGGCCACAAACGTTCAGTACCCGAGGAAATAAGGTACATACTGAGAAATACTAGTTTTCTTTTTATAAAATGTGTACGTATGTCTTATATGATAATCCGACTTTTCTAAAGCAGCTCAAAATATTAGACATTAAAAGCGACACCATACAAGGGCAACTAAGCAAGGAATGAGTCTTCTTTCAATGTGCAATTCAAGAATCTGAAGCATTCAAAATGGTAACAAGGTCACAATGAAGTCAAATAAACAAGTATCAAGTCCCTATATTCCCAACAATTCAGAAAAGAAGACAATAGTGAAATCCAAACTTCCCTATAGTTAGGTTGATATTTTATTCATAAGGTAACTGTTTCTAAAAGATAATTCAAGAATTCCAGAATATGCCTTAAAGCTTTTACCTTAAAAACAAACTGTATATAGTTGACATAATACAGCAAACTTCAGATATGGATACTAGAATTTAAAAAGCAGGGAAAAGATACAAAGTATAAAAATAACAAATTATGGCCGGCACAGTGGCTCACCTTTATAATCCCAGAACTTTGGGAGGCCGAGGCGGGTGGATCACGAAGTCAAGAGATCAAGATGATCCTGGTCAACAAGGTGAAACCCCGTCTCTACTAAAAATACAAAAATTAGCTGGGCATGGTGGCACGCACCTGTAGTCCCAGCTACTCGAGAGGTTGAGGCAGGAGAATTGCCTGAACCCAGGAGGCAGAGGTTGTGGTGAGCCGAGATGGCACCATTGCACTCCAGCCTGGGTAACAAGACCGAAACTCCATCTCAAACAAACAAACAAAAAACAAATTACCTTAAAACTAAGGTGTTACCCACTCTTGATGATTTTACTAAACTATCTTTTTTTCTTGAATATAGGATGAAAAACACTAGAATGCTTAAATGCCTGTAATATCCTTAAGAAATGTTTTATATTTTAAAAGGTTTTAACAATTAAAAATTATTTCAAAATGAAAAATATTTTAATTTCAGAGAAAAATATGAACTCCGTGGTAAGAGGTATCATTTAGGCAAATTTCAGGTGTTAGATTGGTCAGGTCTAAAGTCAGTCTTGGCATTAGCAGGGTAGACAATTGCATTACCTGTATGTAGGACAAAGAAAAGTAGAAAAAAATATGTGTCTAGACCACAGAAGCTTCACTCAAAAGACAAGGCGTAGAACAGCATACAAGTCCCTTGAGTAGGTGAGGGAATGAAAGTGAGAGAGAGTTAGGGGAGAGAAAGAGCTAGAGTTGAGGAGAAAGAGAGGTCTAAAGGTTCTTTCTTTTTTATACCTCTTTTCCCAAATCTAAATGAACAAATGTTACTTCACAATTTTGTCCAGTATTGGGTACCTCAATACACTATATTCCTGGGTCTTCCCTAACATTAATGTGTCTCCTAACAGACTCCTCCCTGATACACACACACACACACACACACACACACACACACACACACACAATATCCCAATCTGACACCTCTTTAAATGCATTAATTATTCTAAGACAGCATGAGACATCACTACCAAAGTGCAATGATTCAGAGAATTTTCAAAATAGAGATGTTTTCAGTATTTCAAATTTTTGATACACAACTTTGGTGATCAATGTAAATGCTAGACTTCTAAGGAATCCAAAGCCTTATTTTTACTATTTTATCATAAATAAATCATATTATTGGCTTCATTGCCATATGTTCACTCTTCTTTAATCTCGACTTTATGCAAAATTACGACTGGGTTTCTGAGTTTCACCTTTTGCTGCCTTCTATTTTCCCTTTTTTAG